TGTGTACAGGCACCATGGCACACATGTGGAGGTCAGAGGACAACTTCGTGGAGTTGATGCTTTCCTTTCATTTGTACATGGGATCTGAGGATGGAACCAGAGTGTCAGGCTTCCAGGGCAAGCGCCTTCATCTGCTGTGCTGAGCGGTCAACTACTCTACCACTCCTGTTGTATCTGAGGCTGAAGACAATTCCTCTTGGAAGTTTTGTGTCTCAGTCCTTTTGGGCTTCTGTAAAAAAGTTAAAATGAGACAATAAGACATAAACAATAGAGATTAATTAATTTCTCCTTGTTTTGAATTCTGGGAACTCCCAGGTCAAGGTACCAGCAGATTTGCTGTCTTGTGAGGGCCTATCCCATGGTGGCTTCTCTGTGTCCCTAGATGGCACAAGTGATGCAAAGCGCCTTCTCCCTCAGTGAGGTCACAGATCCTGCTCTTAGTCACCTTCTAAAGGTCCAGTCTCTTGTTCTGCTGCATTGGTGACATTTCCATGTAGGGATCTGGGGATTGGGGCATGTTCATGATTCTCCCAGGGCCTGGGAATGATGTTATGGGGAATCCTTGGTGAAGCTGCATGGCATCACTGGCCTCAGGAACCTTCCCCTCTAAAAAGCAAAGCCATGAGCATCCCAGAGGAAAGTCCTAAGCTGTGTCTCCTCTTTCAGAGATCTCAGCACTAAACCCACTTTCCCAGTAGTCAGCCCACATGGCCTCTTCCTCAACAATATATCTCTGGGATCTTCTGTTTCTTGGAACTTCTGCTCTCTGGCTTCCTCCATCACTGCATCCCAACTTTCTTTCCATTACCATAGCAGATGAAGAAATATTTGTGGCGTAGGCTAAATGGGCAAGCTTATTTTTTCCCCTCTCAGAGTCCCACGGTGTTAGTATCTTAGCACATCTAGAACCTGTTTCCAGCATGTATGGTAGAAATTACTCCAGGTGACCTGACATCCTTGGTTTGAGGGCTTTCCATCCAGTGTCAGGTTGATCCATGGTGAATGGCTCCTGGTGAAGGTCTCTGTGTCCATGCTGTCTGAAGGATCAGTGGCACTGTCCATTTCTCATTTCTTAAATGCTTTGTCCAAGAGGCAGAATTCTGAGCCCGCCTTCCTCACACCCCTCCTGTGCTTCCTCCCCCCACAGAGATGCATCAGTGCCGCAGCGACGAGTTCAACTGCAGCTCTGGGATGTGCATCCGATCCTCCTGGGTTTGCGATGGAGACAACGACTGCAGGGATTGGTCTGATGAAGCCAACTGTACTGGTCAGTACTTCTTAGACCTGGTAAATAGTGCTCATCTATTTGTGTACTAGTTAGAATTGGGGCTTTAAGTGAGCATAGAAACTAGATGCTGAGAATTAGCGTTAGTAGCATCTAGGTCAGCCCTCCTCAGAGCTGCTGTGTGATGAGCTTATGAGCTATGAGCAGAACTTCACAGTGTTCTGAGGGATTTATAGTCTGGATCCATTTTCTTAGTTCTTCTGGACCAGTAAGTAGTAAACCATTCACATAGACTGACTGCTGGTCTAGGAACCATGTTTTTTTTAAGATTTACTTTATTTTATGTGAATTAGTGTTTTCCTGCATGTATATTTGCGTCATGTGTATGTTGTGCTCTTAGAGGAGGTCAGAGAAAGGCATTAGATCCTCTAGAACTGGAGTTACAGATGGATGTGAGCCCTCAAATTCACGGTTTGAGTAGCACTAACCTAGCTCGTGTTGTTAAAATGGAGCATCCAAGGGCTCACTAAAACAGTTAAAATGCCAACTGGGCTTGCATTTCCTGGAGGTAAGAGTTCATCAGAAATAAAATTGGCAACCTAATGAGTGGGAAACAAATGCTAGGTGGTGTAAGATAGGGACTATGTTCTATTTTCTCTCGGTTTCACTCGTCTACATTATTTTTGTGAATGAATGCATGGTAGAGTTTATATTATGGTGTGTGTTATTGAACATTTGGAGTGGTGAACACTGGGTAGTTCAAGGAGTAAGGAAGATAATGAGAAACAAACATATCCTCCTGTTTAATACCCTTGTTTTGACCCTATGTTTTTATATAATTTTTCAAAATCTAAAATTAAAATAGAAAATTTCCTGAATTCCTGGATTCCTCAGTTTGGTCCTATGCGCTCCAAGACAATAGCCCTGTGTATCATTAGGATGCTCTATAATATTCCCAGTTTCATCCCTGAGAAGGCCACATGGTTTTTGGGTGTGGTCTTGGTGTCTGCCTCTACTCTGAGAAGGGTGCATTAATATTCCTGTGCGGCCTGTGTAGCCTATTGAGGAGGAAAACTGGGCTGTCGAAGGAGCTGTCATGAGCCCAGAAGCATGTGGTTGCTGTCTGAAGACTTGAGTTTAGGTAGATAATTAGTTAATTGTTAGAGGGGTGCATCTGGGCATTCAGTATGTAAATTACAGTGTGATTGAACATCTTGTTAGTACTGCCATGTTAGACCAACCCAGCTTCCAGAAGCTTGTACCAGACTTCCAGAACGAATTAACACTTTAATACTATGGTTGGGCATGTCATAAACTCCAGATTTTATCTCTGGTTTCCTGTAAGCAGGGCTCATTGATGGAACTCCAGTTTTGCCATTTAACTGCAACCTTATGCCAATGGTTCTCCAAATGCTTTTAAGCTTCATTTCCTTCTTGCCAGCTCAGAATAGTTGGAGGGTGAATCTGAGCTCATTATGCCACAGGCATGACACTTCATTTCCATGACCTATTGAATTAAGATAAAGAAGATGGGTCAGGGTGGCTGCCCTCCTGGTGGTCTCAGCTCCTTGTGTTGTGAGTGCTCTTCATTTTAACTCCTTATGTTGTTACCCAGGGTCTGTTTGAGGTCTTTATTCCTTCCAACACACCCTAATTGTTTTGATGTTCACTTTAGATGTATTATTTTTTGTGCTCTTAGTATCTTTCCTCTCTCAAGTATATAACCACTTTCAATCCCTGCCCACAATTCCAAAATTAAAATGCTTAGTAAACTATTGAGTACTTAAAAGCACTGAATACTTAATATTTTAATTTTATCTTATAAAAATTGAGCATTAAGTTTGGGTGTGTAGGTCACTGATAGAGCATTTGGCCAGCATGCTTGAAACCCTGGGTTTGATTCCCATCACCTCTAAATAAATAAACAATTAATAAATGCCTAAAATTAGTCATTCTGACTACTTAAGTTTCTAACTGTCATCTATTTATCCACTATCTGTCTGTCTATCCCTCTATCATCTATCTATCTATCTATCTATCTATCTATCTATCTATCTATTTATCTATCTGTGTGTGTAGCACGAGTGCACACACCTGTGAAGACACCTGAGGTGGTCAGAGGACCACTTTCAGAAGTCAGTTCTCTCCTTCTACAGTGTAGATGCAGGGATTGAACTCAGGTCATCAGGATTGACGAGTGTCTTCATCTGCTGAACCCTCTTGCCTCCTTCCATTTTATTACTTTTAATGACCAAATTTATTTGTCAGTATATCACTTTATCAGTTATCATCTTGTATCCAGTGCCTCCAGGATACATGTATGGGCCTTCAGGGTTCTTACAACAGAAGACCAGGAGTCCTAAACTCTCTCAGGCTTTGTGAGTATAACATGTCTCTAGCCCTTAGTCTCAGATTCAAATGAGTCTGGATTTCTAAGTTTATGGTATTTTTCTGTAATTTTATTGATGGGATTATTCTAGTTCTTATAGACTCTTGTGCTGATTTTAATTCTCTTCTCAGATTATCTGTAATTAGAACATGCTTGTTTCTCTAGTTTTCACTGTTCTAAAATTTCATCTAATTTATTTTGGACCTGTTTTCTTTTTAAGACCTGAGAATTTATGCTCTCCATCTCTTCTGGGACCTTACAGCTATGTAGTTCATCAAGGCTCCCAGCCCCCAGCAGTTGCTATCAGGCCTTTGTTGTACAGCAGCATCCTGTGTGCCCTGTTCTTTTTTTTATATTGATTCCTTTGGACTCTTTACTGGACTCTGAGTTAGCTTCTTTGGAGCTACCTTTCAGTTTATCGGTTCTCTTTTCAGCTAAATCTAATTCTTATTTTCATGACTATAGATATTTTTGTATCTACAATATATATTTAGTTATTTTTCAGAGATAACCTGTAATTCTTTCTAGTTCTCTTTATGTTTTTTAATATCATTAATTATTCAAATTTAGTTCTAGTAACATGTCTTTCCCCTAATGTGCTCCCCAGTATAGTAGTCCAGTGCTTTGTAAGAAATGAGACTGGTATTCCTCCTCAGATTTCATTATTCATCTGTTTAGGCCCACCTACATTTGGGTAATGATTTTGGTTAGGTGTTCTAACAGATGTTGCTAGGTTGGGGAAAATCAATGGCAGAGGGCAAGTGGTAGGAAGCTTTCCCTACTAACCCCACTGTTACAGAGAATCCTATCATGCAAAGAGTCCTTAAGTCTCCCAAATCCTTCAGCCCAGGGCAATCAGTCTCTTCCATCCTGACAACTGAGGTAGTATTTTGAGCACATGTCATTTCTCAAACACTTAAAACCAGAGGACTAGTCAATTACTCAGAAGATTTTATTATTTTTAATCAAGAAAAGGAAAAAGTTATACCAGGCTCCATGCATGCCTGGTCACTTTAGTAGAACTATGCAAACTGATGAATCTTGCTGGTCTCAGCATCTGGCTGAAGTCTGGAGATCTAAGCCAAACCTCCCAGGATTGTCATTTGGAAACCACCCCAGCACTTGGAAATTGTTTTCAATTAAAAAAAAAAGTGTACAGGGTGATTAACAAGTAGATTCTCGTGGTAATAACTTTAGATGACTTTGTGCCAATGAGCCAGGCTGAAGCTTGTTAGAGGTAGTCAGACTCTCCACATCAATAAACCAAAAAGAGTTTAGGTAATGGCTGTTATTGGACAAAAACTCAGGTAATGCGCTCGATTCATAGATTCCTCTTTTTTTTTTAAATCAAGAGTATAGTTTTAAAGATGTTAATGGATTCTAAGTGCCTGGGCTTGTAAACATCAAAAATTCCCTGTAGACGTATGTATGTGCTTCTTTGGTCTTCAAAGAGATGAAAAGACAGATAATGATGATACTTGTTTTAAAATGGTGTGAAGAACTAGGTTCTGGATATTTCTTGCCATTACAAAAGAATAACCTTCAATTCAGTAGAAATTCTGGAAGATACTATAAACCAATTTTTCCAACCCTTCAACAGCAGGCCACCAGTTGTTAGCATCCAGGACACCTTGGCCTCACCCATTGGACTGCATGGCAAGCAGTACCCTGGCTCTCTATGCAGGAGCAAAAGGTCCCTTTAAGAAACAAGCTCCACCTACTCCCACTCTCTTTCTCTCTTTCTCTTTAGAGGTAGGCAGGTCTTTGCCTTTCTCCTTTTCCCCCTCTCTTCATTTCCTTTCTTGTCTGATCATCACAAGATCTCCCCTACTTCCTAATAAACTGCCACGTGGGTTTGTTGTACTCCTCACCACTACCACCACCAAACACCACCAGTCATCTCAATTGGATACAAATCTGTAGCTTGTTCTCAACAGCCCACTCTTACTTGTCTTATTGGGAGGATGTCTGTTTACATAGCTGGACAACAAGGAGCCAGTCTAGGCTACAGTAGTTCCTTGGCCATATTTTAGCTTTCTGTAATTTGACTTTGGTTGGTGGTCAATAGCCATCCAAACATAGAAAATTCTAGAAATAAACAGTTTTAAAACTGTAAATGACCTTTATGCCATATTGTTATGATTGTTCTATTTTATTGTTAGCTATTGTTTATAGTTACTATTTCTGTGATTAAACATCATAGATATGTATATATTAGAACATATGTATGTAGTATTTAGTAGCATCTGGAATTCTAGACATCCATACTGTGTCCTCTGTAAATCAGAGGAACTGATGTACTTCTTTATGCCAGTTGTGAAGCACACAAGTTCTGGCTTTTCTTCAGTAGTGGACAAGTTCTGTAGTGGACAGATTAAAAACAAAAAACCAACCAAACAAAAAAAGAGAAAAACAATTTCCTCTTTCTTCACTGTTGGCTTGGGGGATGCAGGTATTATATACGTGAGCTAATCTTTGAGATTTGGGATGTGTTTAATGATGTGTGCACAAATGAGACTGTTAGTCCTTTACAGCACCTTTAGAGCCTGGTGTGCATACCTTTAATCCTAGCACTCAATCTCAGGGAGGCAGAGACAAGTAGATCTCTGCAAGTTCAAAGCCAACCCTGTTTAAATAGTGAGTTCCAGGCTACATAGAGAGACCCTGATGCAAGCTAAAACAAACATAAATAGGTAAATCAAAAACAAATAAAATACTGCATCTCTATGACTCAGTGACTTCTTTTTAGGTGTTTGTACTGGATGCTGAATGAGCAGATGTTGCTCTTGCCTTTATAGAAGATTTAGATCATTCCATGTTCCAGGCTTACTTTCTTTTGAGATTCTAGATGAATTTATTGTGTTCTGTGGCTCTGATAGTTTCCACATTCAAAACTGGGTAGTGTTGCTTAGAATTACACAAAGTTGTGTCACTTCATATCTTGGAACTCTCGAGATGTCAGGATAATGAGATGAAGTTGAGGCCTCCACACAGTTGCTGGAGGAGGTCTAGAACCTTCCCTCCAGAACACATTGTACCTCTTACCTCATGGCACCTGTAGGAAGGGCTTATGTGAGAGCATGAAGTAGCAGCACAGCCTGCTGCTGTTACATCAGTGTGTTTCCCAAGCCAGCTCCTCATTTGTAAAATGCGCCATCGGTTGTTGTAAAGGGTGAGTCTTTCCTGTGGGCATCCAGGCCTGTCCCTGTGTAACCTGCAGATGCCTGTTGAGACATTCTTGGTGATCTTGGCCCTTGTGCAAAGGAGCCATTTTTATAGCAGTAACTGTTTCTCTAGCATTGCCTCCTGTTTTATTTTTCCAAGTTGTTTGTGGTGGACACGTTCTGTGTATCAGTGACTGGTAGACATTGATGGAGGGAGATACTACTCCCTAGTTTTAGTGGCTCTCTGTTCTTCTGTCCCCTAGCAGCAAATTACTAAGGGATATTAGTAAGATATTACTAAGGGAAAACTACTTATACTTCAAGTTCAGCCATTCCCCTCCACCGAGGGGAACTCAGCTGCTCCCCAAGTTCCCACTATGATATCTAGTGTAGAACTTTGTTCTGGTAGTTGGTGGGGGAGGAGGGACAGGAAGAATAATTTTGTTCTCTTTTCTGTTGACAGCCATCTATCACACCTGTGAGGCCTCCAACTTCCAGTGCCACAATGGCCACTGCATTCCCCAGCGGTGGGCATGTGACGGTGACGCAGATTGCCAGGATGGTTCTGATGAGGATCCGGTCAACTGTGGTAAACACAAAGTCCCTGGCCCTTCCCTGGGGTCTGTCATCCAGGGGAGGGTCAACTGATGCTCCAGGCAGGTGAAACTGTTCTTCCAGGTTAGCAGACACACACACACACACACACACACACACACACACACGCCCTACCACTACAGTAATAAGATAACATATACAGCATTTTTCTACTTGACTGTTAACATTCCTTTTGCTGACACTCCGAATTTTCGTAGGAGTGGAGGTATTTTGGACAAACGTCATTACAAAAGTCCTACACAGTCGTTTTTCCCTTTCCAAAGTTTAAAATTAGCTGTTTCTATATGCCTGCATTTCTTGTGGTGAGCATTTTTCTGAGAGATGCATATTTATTTTATATTAATTATGATCATCTGGTTTATCTAGTTGCGTTCTGCTGGGCATTTGAGAGCTCTCTATTCTCATTGTTCAGCCAGCACAACCCTCCATGTCCTTCAAAGGCTTGTTTTGCCTTTGAACTATTTCCTGGGACACTTTGCACAGTGTGGACTCAAGGTGGCAGAAGTTCCCAGGCTTCCCCATGCTCTCTTCACTGCTAGATTACGTCAGGTGCTGTCTGCCTTTCCTGTGCTGCCCATTCCCTTGATATTAGACTTTGTCATCCTAGCTGTTTTCTTAGGACTTCATGACTGTGCCTATTTTGTTGTGCCTCTTTTCAAAACTATTTTTACTTAGCGACATTAGCATTTTCCCTAGTCAGGAGACTCAGGGCCCTTTTCTCTGTCCGAATGATGCTTTTTGACTAATTTTCTAGGAAGGGTGACTTTTTACCAGATTGCAACGCATTCCCTTGCCTTAGAACTAGTCTTTGTAGAGTGTAGTCTCAAGGCTCCACATACTCAGGTAGAGCTGCCTTCACTTCTAGCAGAGCTCCACTGTTCAGGGGAGAGAGACTTGGGGTAAAGTGTGGGGTTCTGTCATCAGGATGCCTTAGTTCTGGTTTCTACTAGAACTGGCCGTGAAACCCCAGGCTCTTAACAGCTCATAGGAAACATACTTCAAAAATGCTTTGCCTTAGGATTCCTGAAGAATAAGAATTAAGATACTAAGTGTCTTACAGAGCATTAAAAATCCAGGGTTTAATAACTAGGATTTTGGGTCCTTTTTTCCTCCCTATTCACTGAAGCCTTTTCTTTTTCTTATAAAAATATAATGAATTTTTAATAGTACAGTCAGCGAGTTGAAAATAGAAACAGCATAAATGGGTCTACAGTAAACATTGCCTTCCTGTCTGCAGACTTTCTACCTTGTCCCTGTAGGAAACTGTAACCTAATGGTTTTACATATTGGTTAATATTTTTAAATGTTTGAGAATGTTTCTCTGTGTATATAGCTATGTGCTGTACAAGGATGGGTCAGGCAGTGAGGGACTGTGTTTACAATGGTCCCATAAGATCACATAGGAGATGTAATGGTTCTGTCAGGTAATGACTCTGTAGATTTCCTAACATCATGGTAGGATGTGTCACTTGGGTGTTTGTGGTGGTGATGGGTAAATGAGCCTATAGTGTTGCCAGCCACATACACATTTACGCACACAATTGGCGCACACAATTACGTTATATGTGATACTTGGATAGTGATAACAAGTACCTGTGCTGCTGTTTGTGTTTACTATATGATCTCTATTCTTTTTATCATTATTATGGACCCCCTTTCTCCTTACAGAGAAGTTAGCTAGTAGGGTCTGCCACTTAACCTGCGGCACCTCTACTGTTTGCTTCATCTCTTGGTTACATCAAGAGAGCATGTGAAGTGAGTGACCCGTACCATGCCCTCTAGGTCTGTCTGACTGTGGTCTTAAGCCGTTCACACAGCAGCAAAAGAGTTGACTGTTGACACACTTCTCAGCATACCCTGTTGTTATATGCAGTCTGAGTATAAATTCAGAGGTACCATGTGTTATGCCTCTCGTGTACATACAATATACCGTGAATGTTATTTTGTACCTTGCTTTTTTTTTCTTTGCATGGTTATATATTCTGGATGAAATTTTCCATAGTAGTCTTCTTCTTTCTTTTAGTTTTTAGAAACAGGGCTTCTCTGTGTAGCTTTGGAGCCTATCCTGGCACTCTCTCTGTAGAACAGGCTGGTCTTGAATTCACAGAGATCCCCCTGCCTCTGCCTCCGAGTGCTGGGATTAAAGGTGTGCACCACCAATGCCCAGCCATAGTAGTCTTCTTCAGTTTCTACTCCAGTGTTCATTGAGCAGTCCTATATGCAGATGGCTTGTCCCTGGGACGCAGTGCTACAATGTCACATTTGTATTCACATGTTCATGTTTGGCTGCAGTTGTGTTCATATATTACTTTTTAGTTGCGTAAATAGAACACACACCTGCTTTTGGAATTGCAAGGTCAAAATATATGTCAGTTTGTAACTTGGCTAGCCATTAACAAACTACCCTTGAGGTGGTATGGGGTTTGTACCCTGCCAACAAGTGTGGGTGCCTGCCTGTTTGCTTTTTTTTTTTCCCTCTGTCATTCTTCTGTGACCGACTTCTATTTCAGAGAAAAAGTGTAATGGATTCCACTGCCCAAATGGCACTTGCATCCCATCCAGCAAGCATTGTGATGGCCTTCGAGACTGCCCGGATGGCTCTGATGAGCAGCACTGTGGTAGGTCCTTTCTCTGCCCTGGTGGTTGCTCCAGTCTGTTTATTTCTTCAGTACCTGGCCCCAGAGCTCTTGACCTAGAGGATGAGTTAGGCAAGGAGACAAGGCACAGGGAGAGGGATGTGTTAAGATAAGCATCGTGATTGTGGTGTTAGGCCATACTTAGGTAAATGCTGCCGTTTGGTTGCCATGTGTGCTATCAGCCGCCCAATTGTTTTTGCCAGGGCACCTCCCTCTTCCACATGACGGTTTTATTAATGTTTATTACTGAAGATCACTTGAGTATTTTAAGCTAGATGACCCTTTTCTTTTCTTTTCTTTTTCTTTCTTTTTTTTTTTTTCGAGACAGGGTTTCTCTGTGGCTTTGGAGGCTGTCCTGGAACTAGCTCTTGTAGACCAGGCCGGTCTTGAACTCACAGAGCTCTGCCTGCCTCTGCCTCCCAAGTGCTGGGATTAAAGGCGTGAGACACCACTGCCCGGCTAGATGACCCTTTCTATCCCATTTCCAATCCTCAAAAAATTGTCTATGGCATACATCTGTGGAGAATGCTGGAAATAGCCGGGGACTTCTAAAAGAAAGAGTTAGTTGGTTATTCTAGAGTGTGACTTGGTGTTGAGATCTTCCTTTTTCTTACAGTGTTCTGGGCTATTTTAATGTGCAGTCCAGGGTGAGGGCAAAAATGTTAGTGCAGATGCTGTGATCTGGCCTCTAGGTAGGATCCAGACCAGCACTCCAAAGCAAATGTGTTAGTATAGGCATGACTGACTGGCCTGTGGCCAAATTCATCCCATAGTCAGTTCTTCTGAAGGAAGCTGCAGTGAACACACTGTGTATCATTTGTTTCTGTGTTGCGTGTGGCTGTTCTCATTCCATTGTGGTGAAACTGAGTAGGCAAAAAAGCTGTACTTTAGGCTTCTGTGAAACAAAGCCTATTGGCACAGGGTTCTCATGGGAACAACATCTTAGGCTTGACATGTTTGTACACACACACACACACACACACACACACACACTTGAGAGAGGGCATATCATAGGGAATTGACTCACAAGATTAAAAGGCTATCAAAGGCAGTTATTACTCAAACCCAGGTTCCTTCTTGCTATGGGTTCACATGGTCTCTTCTTTGCATGCATCGCTGATATCTGTTCTTACAGGGACACCTATCCTATTGTCACTTCTTTCATCCTACTGACCCTTTTAACCTGAGTGGCTTTTCTAAAGGACCTGTCTCCAGATATAGTTACATTGGTCTTAGGGCTTCAACAGAGGAGCTGAAGGCAGGTGTGCAATTCAGTCCGTAACACTGTTTTATTACAGAAAATGATTCCTAACCTCCATATCAGAGAGCCAGTGTCATATTCATCATGGTTAAACTTTGGGCTTTGTGCCAGGTAGCTCTGGGTTGTAATGTGGACTTCTCCTTCATTAGCTATGTGTCCTTGACAGAAAGAATACTTGATGCTGCCATCCTCTTTTTCTTGTTTTATATGCAGTGACAATAAAATGTCTTATAATGTTGTCTTAGAGGTTTAATGGTGCACTTTATGGTAAGTGCTTTAGCTCAGGGCCTTGCATAAACAGGTACTCTGTCCACAGTGGCTATCATATTACTACAAGTGGTATGTCTGTCTGTGTGCATTTGCTCAGGACCATAGAGCATCCCTGCCAGCCGTAGACACTCATGGCCCTTCCTCTTTCAGAGCCCTTCTGCACACGCTTCATGGACTTTGTGTGTAAGAACCGCCAGCAGTGTCTCTTCCACTCCATGGTGTGTGATGGCATCGTCCAGTGCCGAGATGGCTCCGATGAAGATGCCACATTCGCTGGATGCTGTGAGTGAATGGGTAGGGAGGTTGGCCACTCTGTGGGGTACCTAAGACTCAGGTGCAGGTCATGTCTGAGTGCTCCAGCCTGCTCTTTGTTGTTCCTATTCTCACATGAGCATTAATGTTTTGTATCTATCGGTACACAAATGTGATGGGGCTGGCGAGTGACCAGGACCTTGGCTCAAGGGTCACCTTTTGGGAGAGACTGGCCTGCCATCCACATTGAAGAGTTAATCTCTCTGCAGGACAGCTTTGCTCCAGTGGTCTTCACAGCACAGATCCCCATGTTATATACTTTATTTTACAGTAAACCTCTCCTGAAGCAAAATGTCCCTGGTCATTACTTTTGTGTCACTGTTACCAAATAGCTGGCAGAAACAGCTTTAAAGAGGGAGACTCTGCTTGGGCTCATGGTTTCATGGGTTTGGTCCATGGTTATTTGTCTTCATGTACTTGTGCAGAAGATTGTGGTGGTAGGAGTGCATTGGGGGAGAGCATTTTCCCTCCTGGCACACAGGGAGCAGAATGAAAAGGATACTGAGGACCCAGTGCAGCCTTCCAAGGCCAAGTCCCATGACCTACTTTCCAAAGTCAAGTTCCACTTCCCAGGTCTCATAGCCTCCTAAAATAGTGGCACTAAGTAGGGACCAAATGTTCAAACAAAAGCCTGTTGGGGACATTTCATATTCAAAGCACGGCACTAGGTCTGTGCATGTCTTGAACTATCCTAGCAAAATGCTGCAGACTGACTGGGTAGCTCAACAAACAGAAACTCTGTCGTCCACTCTTGGGATGTTGGTAGTAATGTCTGGGGCCTCTCTCTCTCCCTGGTAGATGCTGTGTCTGCTAGTGTCCTACACGATCTTTCTCCTCTAAGGATCTGTCTGAACTTCCACTTTTGTTGTATTTATTTATTTCAGGAGGCAGGGTCCTACTATGTTGTCCAGGTTGGCACTGAAATCCTGGGTTTAAGTGACAGTCTTTCCCTGGCCTACCAAAGAGTAGGGACTTTTCCTTTCTGAGGACACTAGTCATACTAGATTAGGACCACCTTGATGAGCCTGTTTTAATTTATACTTCCTCATTATCTCCAAAGCAGGCAGAGTACTGGGGCTTAGGTTTGCAGCCCTGTTTATGTTCCACACGAGGAATGCATTAGTTAAAATGTGGAATGGGGGGTTAGTTAGCACAGTGTACTCTGCTGGGATTGAGTCTGGCCTCAGTTTCTTAAGGCTCCCTTAGCTCTGCTGTTTCTCAGCAGATGACCTTTGCTTCCAAGCAGCCCCGCTGCTCAGAACTCTCTAGCATGGAAGTGACCTGGACCTGACGGATGTTTATCACCCTCTAGCTCAAGATCCGGAGTTCCACAAGGAGTGCGATGAGTTCGGTTTCCAGTGTCAGAACGGAGTATGCATCAGCCTGATTTGGAAATGTGATGGGATGGACGATTGTGGAGACTACTCTGACGAAGCCAACTGTGGTAAGAAGCTAGGAGCCTCACCTCCGTGGGCCAGCCTTCCAGTTACAGGGAGACCTGTAGGGCAGGATGCTTGCAGACATCACCTCTGGAGCCTTTGCCTTCCTCTTCCTCACTGAACCATGCTGCCAGTTCTCAAATCCCCA